GCACCCCCCGGATTCAGCACCCCCAGAACTCGCACCCCCCGCCCCCAGAACTCGTACCCCTAGAACCAGCACCCCCAACACCAACTCCACCAACACCAGCACCCCCAACATAAACACCGCCAACACCAGCACCCCCAGAACCGGCACCCCCAGAGCCCACAGCTCCCTGCTGCTGCTGCTGCGGCCGCTGGGTCTGCTGCGGCGACGGTTGCTGCTGCTGAGGCAAGGGAGGAGGCGGCTGAAGTGCCTGGGGTACCAAGGCTGGGGGAGGTGCCAGAGGGACAACAGGCCCTCCCCTTGCAGCTGGGCCCCCAGAGTAAGCCGACTCCACCACAGGCGCAACCGAGGGGAACTGAGTGGCATGGGAGACACCAGACTGGTCCGGGCGGGGCGGGAGGGGTGCGGCAGGCGGGGTAGGGACAAGGAAGAGAGGAGGAGGAGGCACAGGAGTGCTGCGGTGCGCCAGTAATAGGGGAGGGTCTCATCGAAGGTAACGTTACGAGAGTGGTAAAAGCGGTGGTGTGACAGGTGGTAGAACTGCCAGTCAGAGGCATGAAGCAAAAACCCCTGGAAGACACAAGGAAGGGTGCGGGCTGAGAGCTTGTCCGCGCGAGTGTCGTGGACGTGAGGAAGGCTGCCCTTGACGTGGAACGCAGACGCGTCACTAGGAGACCTGGTCCAGTGGAGGGTCGGCAAAACCAGTGGCCGCTGGGAGCACGACTATAGGTTAAACTGGTGAGCACCATAGCTCACCGCGAACAGCCACAGAAAATGGGGTGCACCGCCGTGGACCATGGAGGTGCGAGCTACCTCCATGATCAGGCTGATGCGTTGCTCAGCAACCCCATTATGTTGTGGGGAGTTCGGCAGTGTGTACATCTGGCGGATGCCCTCTGCACGACAGAATTATCCTAGAGTGCCAGAGGCAAACTCGCCACCACAGTCAGAGTGTAAGCGACCTACAGGCAGGCGGTGGTGGGTGCGAACAGTTAGAAGCCATGGTAGGAGAACGGTAGGCACGTCGGCCTTCCGCTCCAACGGGAACACTGTGGTGAAGCGCGAGAAGTTGTCAACAACGACTAGAAAGTAGCGCTCCCGACTGAGACCAGGGACCGGGGCAGCGCCGTCCAGGTGCAGCATCTGTAGCGGCGCAGTGGTAGGGGGAAACGAGGAGGAGGCACGCTACTGACCCTCAACGTAGGACGTGCACAGTGGTGTTACTGATATAGGCGGTGCGGGAAGCGACCCAGGGAGACCAGTGACTAGACCATGCTGGGACATGTGCCTAGGACGTGGGAGTGCTGGGTGACCTAAGCGGTGGTGCCACAGAAGGGTCGGGTGGGCAATGGAGCGAGAAGAGCAGGATGCGGTAACCGCGGCAGACGCAGCAGTCGACGTGGACTCAGTGTGCAGTGTAAAGAGACCTAACGCTGGGTCACGGTCGAATGTGGCTAAGTGCCGACCGGTGGGGTCTTTGGTGTGCTCGGCAAGGTGGAGGATCTAGAGGTGCGGACCCGGGGCGGTCAAAGCACCCCAAATGCTGCTGCTGCTTCTTCTATTGCTGCTGCTGCTGCTGCGGCTTCTGCATTGGCTAGAGAGCCCAGAAGCAGACGTTGAGTTTGTGGAGCCAGAAGCCAAGGAGGTAACTAATGTGATCCTCTAGGAGTGTGCAGTCTAGGCACGGGCTCACCAGCTATAGACAGTGGGCGAGAAATCAGAGAGCGGAGAGAAGTGCCCGGCGGTGTGGCCAGGGAACTGACCCGAACGAGGCCATCATGCCGAGAGGAGAGGCATCAAGGAACACTAGAAACGAGGAGGAGACTAGTGGGAGGCACTAGGTGCTAGAGGAGTACGATCGGAGGTAGTAGCAGTGGCAACTGTGGCTGTAGGAGTGGGAGCGAGCACGAGGCTAGTAGCATCAGTGGCTAGTGACTGTAAGATGGCAGTAGCGGCTAGCTGGCGGCTGGCGGTAGGCTAGGAGCTGCTAGGAGGAGTGGGGAGCAAACGAGTAGGAAGTACGCACGAGAGGATCTACTAAGAGTAGTACGCCGAGGAGCTAGCTAGGAGGCACTACGACTGGCGGCACAAGGCGAAGGACGGTCTACAGGGCACCGGGGACTCACGGGATAGGCGGCCGACTGGCGGCTAGCGACCGACTGCCACTGGCGGCTGGTGGTTGGAGGCTGGCCGCGAGTGGTGGCAGCTGGCGGCTGATGGCTGGGGGTTGACGGCTGGTCGCGGGTGGCAGCTGGTGCGGGCAGCTGGTGGCCGGCTGCTGATGGTGGGCAACAACAAGGGTGACAAGAGTAGCAGCGGCGGCTGCAGAGGCAGTGGCGGCTGTAGCGGCAGCGGCGGCTGTAGCGGCAGCAGTGGCAGCGGCTGCAGTGGCGGCAACAATGGCTGCGGTAGTGGCGGCTGCGATGACAGTGGGCGGCAGTAGGCGGCAGCGGGCGGCAGCGGGCAGTAGTAGCTGTGGTAGTGGCAGTGGGCGGCAGCAGCCTCCGCTGGCTGCTGGCTGCTGGCAATGGGCTGGTGGCTGCTGGCGGCTGGCGCTGGCTGCTGGCGCTGGTGGCGCTGGTGACGCTGGTGGCTCTGGTGAGCCAGCAAGCTGGCTGCTGGCAACTGGCCCTAGCGGCTGGCAGTGCTGGCTGTTGGCGCTGGCTGCTGGCGCTAGTGGCGCTGGTGAGCCAATGAGCTGGCTGGTGAGCAAACGAGTGGGCAAGAAGGCAAGTAGGTGAGCTGGCGAGCAGGCGTGCTAGCGAGCAGGGGAGCAGGTGGGCTGGCGAGCAGGCGCGCTGGCAAGCACGCGGGCTAGCGAGCAGGTGGGCTGGCAAGCTGGCAATTAGGCGGGCTAGCAAGCAGGCGAGCGTGCGAGCTGGAGAGTAGGCTGGCTGCCGGGCTGGTGAGAAGGTGAGAAGGCGTGCTGGTGAGTAGGCGATCAGGCTTGCAGGCAGGTTGATGAGCTGGCGAGCTGGCGGGCAGGCGAGCAAGCGAGCAGGCGGGCCGACGAGCAGGCGAATGTGTAAGGTGGCGAGCAGGCGGGCTGGCGAGCAGACGAGCAAGTGGGCTGGCGAGTAGGCAAGCGTGCGAGCTGGCGAATAGGCAGGCTGGCTGGCTGGCGCGAAGGCGAGCAGACGAGCTGGCGAGCAGGCGGGCTTGCGAGCAGGCGAGCAGACAGGCTGGTGAGCAGGCGGGCCGGCGGGCAGGCAAGCAAGCGAGCAAACGGGCGGGCGAGCGGGCGAGTGTGCGAGCTGGCGAGCAGGCAGGATGGCGGGACGGCTACGAACGAAGGCGCTGGCGAGTGCGAGCCAGCGGCGGCTGGTGTGAGCTACGCGACGAAGAGGAGAGGGCGGGGAGGGGACAAGAAACGAGGCGCGCAATTAGGGCCGAGGCGCACTACGCTAGGGTGTGCTAGGGAGGAAGCGTGAGTAGAGGGCGAGACCTAGCTCTAGCTGCCATGTTAGATTGTCGAGAAAATGATCAACTAAGGGAAAATGCTTGTATTCCCAGAGGGCGACCCAGACGCTCTCGACATCCCGCGCTCTTGCGCTAAGGCGGTGTCGAGTCCCTGGGCAGCCCAGTAGATACATGCCATGGAGGCACATGCATCATACAGATCCACGAGCATTTACGTCGACGCAGTTCTGCTGCCTTGGGCGAACGTAGTCGATTGCATGTGGATCTACAGGGTGAAGCGCGCACCTTGAGAGCCGCCGACGTTCAAGGCGCGTTACGTGGCTAGAGGGTTCAGTCAGCATAAGGGTGTGGACCTCTTCCAAACTTCTCCCCGACCCTGAAGATGACCAAACTTTGGGTTGTTCTTCACATAGCCGCGCAGCATGACTACGAGCTTCAATCACTCGACTTCTCCATAGCGTTCCTGCAGGGTAGTCTGCACGAGCACATCTACCTATGGCACCCTCTAAGCTTCTTTGGGTCCTTCCCACCTGCGCCATCGTGTCTACGGCCTTTGTCAGGCACCCCATGAGTGGCACGACACGCTTCGCACGACTCTTGCTAAGCTGCAGTTCTTCCCGTCCTTTGCTGACCCCTCTCTTTGTTTGCACGGGTCATACTCCATTCTACATTATAGTGTACGTAGACGATCTTATCTTTGCTACTTCTGACAGAGTCGCACTAACCTCAGTGAAGGCCGATTTACGTAGGAGACACACCTGTACAGACATAGGAGAGCTGGGGCACTATCCGGGCTTGGAGATCTTTCGTGACCATGCTGCTCGCACGATCACACTCTCCCAGTCCCATATGGTGCAGAAGATCCTCCAGAGGTTCATTCTCCAGTTCTCCCCAGCACAGCCCACCCCTCTGCCTGTGGACCACAAGCTCCTGTTCCGGCTGAGCCGGTCGAGGCTAGTGATCCATACGCAGAGCTGGTGGGGTGCCTCATGTACTTGATGACTTGCACTCCACCTGATCTAGCGTACCCTCTCTGTCTCCTGGATCGTTTTGTTGCGACAGGCAGGCACCGACCAGTTCACTAGACAGCTGCCAAGAGGGTACTGCGGTATCTGGCGAGTACATCAGGACTGGGGCTTATGTTAGGAGGACGGGAGCCAGTGGTGCTCACTGGACACACAGACTCGTCGTGGACTGACAACGTGGAGATGCTCAGGTCGTCTATTTTAGTATTGGTGTTGGTGCAGTCTCGTGGAGGCCCGCGAGGTCGTCGTCTGTAGCTCAGTCCAGTTATGAGGCAGAGATCTACGCCTGGGCCATGGCCACTCTGGAGCTCCGCTGGCTGACATTCTTGCTCAATGACTTAGGTGAGCAGCCTAGGTCTGCCCCGGTCTTGTTTCCTGACAACAGGGCCACGATCCTTTTCGCAACAGGTCGGTCAGTAGTGCAGTTACTCGCGCCATATTCGGGATAAACCTCCAAATGTAATTGACGAACCCTGAAAAACTTTGCAGCTCCTGCAATTTCGTATGCAGTAGCCAGGCTTGCACAGTTTCGATCTTCCGCGGGTCGAGTTGCACGTCATTAGCGGAAATTACATGACCTAAAAATTATATTCTACGCTTGAGGAAATCGCACGTAGACCCTTTTGTGAGCTTCCGATGCTCCTGCATTAGCGTGAAAATTGATTCGAGGTCCTTTAAGTGTTGCTTCTGGGTCTCGCTGCAAATTAGGATGTCGTTTGGGTAAACTATAACACACTTATCTACGAGCAAACTGAAATTTTGGTTCATGGTCATTTGGAAAGTCGTCGGGGCGTTCGTGAGCCCAAAGGGCATAACTATATTGACGGAAACAGTTGTCTGTATGTTTTGCATTAATTAGTGTTTTTAGGCTTTAACGCCCGAGTTTAGAATGGTTTGCTATCGAGTTCAGGAATCCTGAACTGGTTTTTCATCAAATGAAGGGTAACGCGGTACAACCCGAAAAAGCGTCGCAACTCACGGGGAACTGGGAATAGCTTGCGACTGGCGCTGAATAAGACAAGCACCCAGTCACTATTCATCTCAGTATTCTTGAGTTTTGCTTGCGACCATTCTGAACGCATTTTTTTGGGGGTCTCGCATTACTGTTTGTTCCCCCCCAACCCCCCACCCCCCCGCACAGGTCACGCACAGTTGACCCCGGTTCTTGTGGAAGAATTTCTGGATGCGATCACGGTTCTTCGATTTTGCCAGAATCTTTGTTCATCAAAGAAACTTTGTTGAAATTACTTTCGGATTTGTTCACAACACAAACCTCCATAATAGTACATTGGATCCAACTCATACCCTTAAGGATATACAAAGAGAACATCCGAACAAATAGTTCCAAGCACAGAGGCAAACTTCAGAGCAACGTTTTTTGTATCTAGCCCACTGTACTTTGGCCTTGATCTTTTTGCACTCTTCTTAGACCTACAATTTTGTATTGTAAGGGGGTGAGCAGTAGGAAAATCGCGAAGGGATTGGGTGTAGGCAAGAGTATTTGTGGACGATCTCAGACTGAATGGTATCTCTGAGACTAGTCATGCTGATGTGTGGCCAAAGATGATATTTCTCGGACGGCCCCGTCTTATCACGGATCGTCTTTGTCGAGCCGTTGTAGGGTAAAATTACAAAAAGAGTGGTCAAAACTAGCGTAGACACCGCGAAATTGAAGGTGACATAGCACGGACGACTGTGCACCCTTGCACCACTAAAGGCTAGGATCCGCAGGTCTAGTAATGGTGCAATAGTCGAAGAAGCCACAATTGTTCTGGAATAATATCAGATGGCCGGTGGAAGAGATAAGTGGAGGCGGCAGGTTGATGTCCGCCCCTTCGCCAACTTCCATTCGCCCGATGAATCGTGGCGGATTGTTCGTCGATCCCTCAGGCGATGCCGCATGTGGTCGCTAATTGTCACCAGGTATTTCGTAACGCAGTTGGGTTACTTAATCTTGTTGCCCTTGGTTTGTCGTTGGCGCGATCGTGTCATATCATATCTGAGGCAATCGGTTCCGTAGTGCAGATATCTTAGATTCAGCTTGGGCCATTTCAGCTTGAAGATGCGCCAGCTCCTGCTGGTACAACTCGTGAGTAAGACGGGCTTCTACGAGTGCTGCCGCCCATTCTTCAGAATTCATGGCGTTAGATGACGATAAATTCACCATTTGGCGAAAAGTTTTCGGCGGCTTTCGGCACGCTGGCACTGCGAACACAGTTGTGGCTGTAGGTAATTAGCGATTAATATTACCAAGATAGCGGATACGTATGCAGTAAGTACATGGCGTCAGCCTCCCTAAGTGTCGGTGTTGCTGAGGTTCGTTGGCTCTAATGGCCAGGCATAATGAAGCGCAACGAACATGTATCGAATAGTTGAGTTGCGAGGAAAATCAATACATGAGGCAACATAAAAACAACAAGGAGTATGTGTTACGATAAGGAAATTGTTACATTCCTGAAAGTGACACTCAAGCCGTAACCCTTGTCGAGTCCAAGCCTATGATGCGATGTACGAAGTGCAACAGTCGTTGACTGTTGACCGACAGTCGAACCGACAGATGTCCAGGGGTCCGTCACGACATCAAGGACACATAACTGACCCTGTAATACAGCGCAGGCAGTTACCCGAGTCGGATACAGTTACTCGAGTCGGATCTGGAACCTCAAAGGGAACGTACCCCTTTAAAGTGCATCTTAGTTAGCCCCTTCGCATTCTCTTGTATGACTATATGAACCCTGTATTGTCATAGGATCGAATGAGGTTTGCTCAATGTTCTCACTATCCATGAGTACAAGGTGCTTTTATTCTTCCATAGTACATCTAGTAACCAGGTTTTTTCTATCCAAAGGGAATAGACCCTTCTAAAAATAGAATAACCCTGCATATAGCCACGCGAGGCTATTGGCTTTAAGGGATTACGACATGATTACGCTAGATATAGCGTGCGAGTACATCCCGAGCCTGGTCTGTGATATAGTTATAATATCAAGATAAACCAAAGGATTATGGAAAAGGAGGAATATGAAACCAAATGAGATGAGATAAAGGCCAAATGAATCAGGATAGAAAGAGGAATGAAATATAAAGGAAATATGGATAGGGGAAGTTGGTGTAACGGGGTCGTACTCTCACACATCCCCCCCTCAAAGTTGGGTGGTAGAAGTAACACCCTGCTTAACAAGGTAGTCGCGAAGAGGACGATGGGCGTTACCCATGCCGAATTTAGAGACGCAGCCTCAGAAGTATCAAAACCCTTCCAGCAAAGAATATGCTCCAGGGTGCCATGCCGACAAATGATGGTATGCAAGCACGTTGTTGTCCCCGTGTTTAGGTTCATCATGGACCAACACAGGTGGCGGTGGTTGGCGTTTGGTGTAGTGCATGCTCGGTCCAAATAGGGTTTGAGAAGCTGGTATGGAAGGCGTTATGGATCTTCCAAGTGGTTGGAAGGCGGAAGCGGAAGGTGACTGAAGTGACCTCTGCTTCAATGAGGATAGACCCGCAGAAGCAAGGTTGAAGCTTGGATGGAGGATGACTAATGTCGAGATTATGGTGTGGATAACGGTGGTGATGAGCGGCCAAATGCTTCTGCTGCTGTTGGATGTCTAAGAGGCATGTATGATCTTAGAGCTAGTAAACAATGGTGAAGAAATGGAATTGTCGGTTGCTGTGGTGTGAACAGGTTGCGTTTGTTGCAAAGGAAGAATGGTAATCATCATGTTGTAATCGAGGTGGCATTGATGTAGACGCACTCCCATATCAGTAGCGTTGTGCTGAAGTTGTTTAACAATCCAATTGAGCCATGATATATTTCCGTCAGTCTGTTCGTGGTACGCGGATGGCGTTGATCGTGGTCGAGATGTTGTGTCGTAAGGCGCTGTCGAAACATCAGATGTACTATCCTTCCGCTGGGTGCTATAACTAACACACTGTAGAATGTGTTTAGTCTCGGGTAGCACATCCTGATGTTACTCGCACCTCTTCCACATATGAAGATGACCAAGTGTTGGTGGTATGGCAGTCGTGTCATAGTATTGCTACTATAGCAGCGTTGTATCTGATACTTGCAGCTTCTGTCGAATGCTGTTCCATGCCTTAGTGTTGTCGTGAGTCGTACCTTCTTAGCATTGTACGCGCGTGCAGTTCATCCGACGGCTGCAAAGTAGATCTCCATTTCCAAAAATCAACACCTTACGTGCAGTTGTCAACAGATGCGATGCCAAATTCTGCTATGGGGTGGCGAGCAAAGTCACTCGCAGTAACTCTGTTCACTACGTGCTTTGCCGGTGGCGCTGTCATGAGTATAACAACTTGTGTGAAGGTCTTCTGGTGTCATCATGTGTTGTCTCATTCTGACACCGTCATTGAATTAATGTTGATGTCGAAGACGTCTCAACTACTCAGCATCAGTGTTAAGGTCTGCTCCATTTTGACAAATAGTGGTGTTGTTGGATATACGCGGAGTCCACAATCCAGAGTGGCGTCGGCGCTCCATTTCACGCCAATCTGCTTCTATGGAGGTGGTGCTGGTGATGGATTGGTTGCGACGCAGGCTTTTATAACTAATATAACAGTCAATGGCCATGAGAACTTTTGAGCCGGTAGAATACTGTAGTCCTCCCATCCTCATAAGAGCAAATATTTTCTCCTCTTGAGGGTATACGGCATTGCCATAGCTATTCCAGTGAATAGTGGTATCTCCTTCCCACTAGCTGGAAATCAATGTTGTGTCTGGCCAGGACTTTACGATCATACTGGAATAAGATTCAGCGTTATCTCCATTGAGCGGAGAATCATCCATTAGGATTTGGTTGTGACTGCTGTGTCGAGTCTTCTGCTGCGGCGGTGGCGACAATAGCGACGATGGCGACGGCGGCAGCTGCTGTAGAGAATCCGCTCAACTCGTAATGGTTGAAGAAGAATCCATCAACTCCCTCTTCCAGGTAGAGTGTTCCTGACGGGTGTAACACGTGTAGCTACCAGGAGTACTCCACTACTCCTGATGATGGTTTCATTTGAGGGTATGAAGAATGGTTGCTTCTCCCCTCAATGTATCCACGGTATGCAATTCTTGGTATGCTCATTTGTGCCTCCGATGTACGGTCAGTAGATCGCTTGTTGTAGTAGTCCGCACCTCCCTCATTTGTTGACACCTCATGTTGCTTGGCGTTCTCCTGCATCGTCGAAGTTACGCTGATGCTTGTAACGCTTTGGCTTCTGGTAGAATCGCCTCCAATGCATGTGCCGTAGGGTTGCTAGTGAACGAATACTTGCCGGATTCGAGGTTAATTACTCCTCAATCTGTCAAGCATCGTGACATTCATGGAAACTTTTCCACGCAGGTCATTAACACCTGGAATCGCGATGCATGATTGGTGTGTCGCCTCGTGGGGTTGATGTTGAGACAGCTCCAATCAATCACTTCGGATGGCTGAGATTCTTGATGAAGACGAACAGATCAGCTCCTGTCATGAAGTAGTGTCTTGCTGGCCTTGACAAGACGGGTTCACTGCGTTGCCGTTGCATGCGAAATCTGCTCTTTCGCAGCAACTTGAACTTGGGAGCATTGCAAGAGAATACGGTTACTTCTCTGCAATCTCATAGTTTGTCAATCAATCTATGTGAAGAAGTGGATGGAGAACGTGTCTTCAAGCAGCTTCATTGCTTTTCCTCGCTGAAGATCAGATGTGTTGATGTCGATCCATTTTTTACGAAGATGACTTTGTCAAAATAAGTAGTTCATTATCGACACTAGTCAGAAAATGCGTCGATTGTGGAGTCGCTGGTCTCGAATGTTGTCTCCATGATGATGATCTT